CTTGTTTATGATGAAATGCTAGTATCTAGAAGGAAATTTTGTTTTCTTCCAGTTAACATTACATTCAGTCTGCAGTTAAAGTTTTTAAACATTTATAAGATTCATAAACTATCCTGGATTTTTACCAAACTTGGACAGAAGCTTCTTACAATCAAAAGATAGTATCAAGAGGAATATTTTTATTGATTAACTTCCTCATTTTTGTTGAGCCTGCGATTAACAGAAAAAGTAGGCGAGACACTGGGTTCCACGGAACCCTTACAAATTTTTTAGTAATTAATAACTATACAAATATTGTATTTTTTATGTACTTACAGACAGGAAGACACTTTGAGCAAGTCTGTTGGAGAAGGAAAGATATTTTATCAGCCTGATGAAATCGATGATTTTGATGAAGAAGACCCTGATGATGACCTTGACATTTAACTTTAGCATCAAGTACATCAAATTGTTGAAGAATATTATTTTGTTTTGAATAAATCAAGTGCAGTTATGATATGTATATCATTGATGTTCTTTAACCCACTCCTTTGTCCAACCATCATAAAGTGTAGAATTTGCTGCAATGATGTCTTGAATTGGCCTGAACAGTCCCATTTTATTGTATTTAGCATTTTACCAGCGAACTACGTGGTTTAACAGTAGAAGAATAACAGCCTTCTTGTTCCATTTGTTGAAATTCAATGAAGATTCAATGATATCAACTAGTCCTGTACTAATCATGAATAATAAAAGATAAGGTCAAGTTAAAGTAACCCATTACAGATATACACCACAACATTTCTGTGGATCAAATATAGTGAATGAGAGATAAATGAGGTAAATGTTAATGATACAGCAACCCAACAACAATCAAACCAAAAAAGGTTTACTTGCATAGATATAAGAAGATGTGGTATGAGTGCAAATGAGACAGCTCTCCATCCAAGTCACAATTTGTAAAAGTAAACCATTATAGGTCAAAGTACGGCCTTTAACACTTAATGAATGGCTATTATTTATTTTGAATTTATTGAACCATAAAATTAATTTTTATACGACCGCAAAAAATTTTTGCGGTCGTATATTGGTATGGCGTTGGCGTCGTCGTCGTCCAGCGTCGTCCGAAGACACATTGGTTTTCGCACTCTAACTTTAGTTTAAGTGAATGAATCTCTATGAAATTTTACCATAAGGTTCAATACCACAAAAGGAAGGTTGGGATTGATTTTGGGGGTTATGGTACCAACAGTTAAGGAATTAGGGGCCAAAAAGGGGCCAAAAATAAGCATTTTTGTAACTTCCAGACATAACTTGTGTGTTAGTGTATGAATCTCTCTGACATTGTACCACAAGGTTCCATATCACACAGGGAATGCTGGGATTGATTTTGGGGGTAATTGCCTAAAAATATTAGGAATTAGGGGCCAAAAAAGGGGCAAAAAACAAGCATTTTTCCAGTTTCATGACAATAACTTGTGTGTAAGTGTATGGATCTTTCTGAAATTGTACTACAAGGTTCCATATCACAAAGGGAAAGCTGGAATTGAGTTTGGGGGTAATAGCCCAAAACGTTTAGGAATAAGGGGCCAAAAAGGGTCCAAAAATAATCATTTTTCTAGTTTCCAGACAATAACTTGTGTTCAAGTGTATGGATCTCTGTGAAATTGTACCACAAGTATCCATATCACACAGGGAATGCTGGGATTGATTTTGGGGGTAATTGCCTCCAAATATTAGGAATTAGGGGCCAAAAAAGGGGCAAAAAACAAGCATTTTTACAGTTTCATGACAATAACTTGTGTGTAAGTGTATGGATCTTTCTGAAATTGTACTACAAGGTTCCATATCACAAAGGGAAAGCTGGAATTGAGTTTGGGTGTAATTGCCCAAAACGTTTAGGAATAAGGGGCTAAAAAGGGTCCAATTATAAGCATTTTTCTAGTTTCCAGACAATAACTTGTGTTCAAGTGTATGGATCTCTCTGAAATTGTACTGCAAGGTACCATACCACAAAGGGAAGGCTGGGATTGATTTTGGGGGTAATTGCCTAATCTAACAGTGTATTTAGATTCTTAATTTTTGGTCCTGTTTTCAAATTGGTCTACATTAAGGTCCAAAGGGTCCAAAATTAAACTTAGTTTGATTTTAACAAAAATTGAATTCTTGGGGTTCTTTGATATGCTGAATCTAAACATGTACTTAGTTTTTTTATTATGGGCCCAGTATTCAAGTTGGTCCAAATCGGGGTCCAAAATTAAACTGTGTTTGATTTCAACAAAAATATAAATTGAATATAAGGGGTTCTTCGATATGCTGAATCTAACCATATATTTAGATTTTTGATATTTGGGCCCGGTTATTAAATTGGTTCACATTGAGGTTTAAAGGGTCCAAAATTGAACTTTATTTGATTTCATCAAAAATTGAATTCTTGGGGTTCTTTGATATGCTGAATCTAACCATGGATTTAGATTTTGGATATTGGAATACCACAAAGGGATGGTAAGAATTGTCTTTGGGAGTTATGGCTCAAACCGTTAAGGAAAAAGGTGCAAAAAAGGGGGGAAAAGGGTTTCCAGGTTAATGGACAATTACTTAAGTACAAAACATAATTTAAAAGGCAGTGTAAGGTTGGTAATTGAAACTCATTTGAATATCTCACCTAAACTGCTTTTAAATTATGTATATTGGAAATTTGCCAAAAACTTTATTATTAATAAATTCCATTGGAAATTTGCCAAGTACTTTAGTTTAATGAACTTCATTGGAAATTTGCCAATATAAAATGTTGCTGATGGAGCTTTTTTGTTTATCTCACCTAAACTGCTTTTAAATTATGTATATTGGAAATTTGCCAAAAACTTTATTATTAATAAATTCCATTGGAAATTTGCCAATAACTTTAGTTTAATGAACTTCATTGGAAATTTGCCAAAAACTTTATTTTTAATAAATTTCATTGGAAATTTGCCAATAACAATAAACTTCATTGCATTTTTTCTAGTTTCCAGACAATAACTTGTGTGTAAGTGTATGGATCTCTCTAAAATTGTACGGGGGGGGGGGGGGGGGGGGGGGTGTGAAAAGCGGGGGGGGATTTTTTTCCCCAATTTTTTGGGGTTCATATTTTTTTTCTTCAAAGTTTTTGTAATCTTCAATTGCACAGTATTGCGCAATGACAAGAAATCTCCAATTGCACAGTATTGCGCAATTTCACAGTATTGGGCAATAGCAAGAAATCTTCAATTGCATAGTATTGCGCAAAAGCAAGAAATCTTTAATTGTACAGTATTGCGCAATAGTACAGTATTGCACAATAGCACAGTATTGCGCAATAGCAAGAAATCTTCAATTACACAGTATTGCGCAATAGCAAGAAATCTTCAATTGCACAGTATTGTGCAATAGCAAGAAATCTTCAATTGAAAATAAATACAAATCTTTTAACCAATTTCAATGGGATTCATTTAAAGTCTTTAATTTTTGGGGGTTCTTACCTTGTATTACTTTTTTGGATATTGGGCCCCATTTTTAAATTGGTCTACATTGAGGTCAAAAGGGTCCAAAATTAAACTTTGTTTGATTTCATCAAAAACTGAATGATTGCAGCTGTATGATATGCTGAATCTTATTGTGTATTTAGATTTTTTATTTTGGGCCCTGTTTTCAAATTAGTCCATATTAAGGTTTGAAGGGTCCAAAATTAAACTTTTGATTGATTTCAACTAAAATTAAATTTTTTGGTGTTTTTTTATATGCTGAATCTAACCATGTTGTTAGCTTTTGGATATCAGACCATTCTAGGTAAAATGAATGTCCCATTTCAAATTTTTAAGCTCTTTGACCATTAATTTTGTGTCAGAAACCTATATTATGTCAAAAATTTGATCACAATCCAAATTCAGACAGTATCAAGCTTGAATATTGTGTCCAAACTTGCCCCAACTGGTCAAGGTTTGACCTCTGCGGTCGTATCAGGCTGCGCTCTGCGAAGCATTTTATTGACTCTTATGATTGAATTTCGCGGATTATGTAAAATGTGAAGAGTCAAAAATTAATTTTATGGTTCAATAAATTCAAAATAAATAATAGCCATTCATTATAAATAAAAACAAAAATAAGGCTCAGAGCTTTTTATACTATTTATATTAACAATAACAACGTACACACATGTTGGTGTATGAATACACAACGTCAGAGTGGGCGTGTCGCCATAAAAATTGACAACATTGAAAAAAAAGGTAATACTTTTAACCAATCAGAAGACAGTAAATACACCAAATTTATTTATAAAGCCTTGGCTCACACCAAACAGCAAGCTATAAAGGGCCCCAAAAATGACTAGTGCAAAACCATTCAAACAGGAAAACCAACGGTCTAATCTATATAAAAAATGAGAAACGAGAAACACTTATGAACCACATCAACAAACGACAACCACTGAACATCAGGTTCCTGACTTACAGTCAACATAATTATCAATGATAGACTAGCCTCTGTACCAAATGTAAAGTCTAAATCACTCTCAAGTATTAAACACTGAAATCGAGGCTAATGTCAGATAACTAGTGTCAAACAGACATGAATATTTTACATATTTTCACATTACTGTAAATTCAGAAATTATTGCGATGTTTTTATTATTACGAAAAATGCGACAGGGTTATAATCGCAAAAATTTAAACACCCATTTTGAAATTTTTTATATGAATTAAACAGGATTTTTCTCAATAAAAAAAATTAAAATCACATTTTAGTCTAAAATGACAAAATCGCAATAATAAATGCACACAATAATTTCTGAATTTACAGTATGTCATGCAGAGGACTTTTGTAGCTTACTATACCCTAGGTTTTGCTTACTGTTGAAAGCTGTATGATGACCTATATTTATTTACATCCTGGTTCTTTAGTCTCTGTTGATTATTTGTTGCTCTGGTAATAATATCACATCTCATTTTTTTTTATATTTAGTAACATTTATTGCTCAGATGAATAAAGAACAACAAACAATTAGCTATGTCTCATACCCTTATTTTATATCAGTCATATTTTGTCTTTCTACAGAAAATTTAATAAATATTGATTTAAATAAATAATATAGCTAGATGCAAGCTTGCAACCTCCAAATCACAGGTACAATACATATTCCAATAAGTTATCAATAAAATTAAGTCTTTAGATCGTAACATGTTTTAAGATAGGAAGGAAATAATTTTCATATATTTCTTCATACATTTCCTTCCCATCTTAAAACCAGTTATGATATGAATGCCCTTGATTTTATTAGTAAGTTTGTTTCATTCTATTTTCACAGTTCAGTGGCATCTCTTTGTTCTCTGTATTAAAGTCTTAAAAACATTTTCTCCACTTACGTTTAATGAACAATCTTTAAAAGAATAAAATTATGTATCATCAGTGCCAGAGTTTTTAAAAATTGATAAAGATCAGGATTATCTGTGCCTGAGTTTAAATTGATAAAGATCAAGATCATTTGTGCCCGAGTTCAAATTGATAAAGATCAGGATCATTTGTGTCCAAGTTTAATTTGATAAGGATCAGGATCATCTGTGTCTGAGTTTAAATCGATAAAGTTCAGGAACTATAAGTCCTAACAGTTGATGTACAAAAACTGCTGTAAGTCCCCAAATTCTGTGTTGACCTCCAGTATAGACAGGTAACGTATATCCTTCAACTGACTTAATTTCTCTCCTAAACTGTGTACTGTGGGCATTGGTACACAGAGAATCTATTGATCTAGTAAAAACAGATGCAGCCTAAAAAAAACAACAAAAAAACACATGCAAATGTACTTCAATAACTGCTATAAAATATAAGAATTTATCAACACATATACTAGTAATCTATTGAAATAAATGGTAGGCACAAAGATATAACTTTTGAAAATTTGATAGTAGTTAGTATAATGCAAATTTAATGTTGAATTTAAAATGCTTATATTTGATCTGACATGTAAACTATGCAAAAATTTCAAAGTCAATGAACCATGATGAGGGCATAGCCTTATAATGGCCATGGAAATGAGATGTACCAATGCTAATACAAATGTATTCCAAATATCACTGACCTACCACTACTGGTTCCCTTAAACTGACCTAATCACAAACTTTAACATGTAAACTTAGCAACAGTTTCAAAATCAAGAGGGTGTAGGTTCAAGTAATCTCAATAGTAATAAGTGTACCTACATGTATGTTTATACAACTGCATACCAAATATCATTGTCTTACCACTAGTGTTTCTCCTAAAACTGAACAAATCACAGTATTGAGCTTGCCAGAACAGTTAGCCTAAGTCTTGCTTGTTTAACTTTATTAAGGTGAGATGAAAACCATAATAGTTAAAAAATTCTACTGAAAACTAAAGTTCATACAATTTTGTCCTCAGCAGATCTTGATTTAATAATATTTCATTTTACTTTGGTGCTGTCAATGTCATGTGTAATGTCTGCCCCTTTGGACACTAGACCAAAGCCCCAGACTAGCAAAATTTTATTTGGACTAGAAAGTATGTACAAACTTTGTTTAGACACAAGAAAAATGTTGGAATATTGGTCTTCAGACTAGTAGTTGGAAAAGATTTTGGTGTAGACTGTTGTGTGTATTGCTTGTTTTTAAAACTTTAGGCATTAAAAGTAGTTTATAAAATAGTTTCATATAAATAAGTTGTGTGAGTCTTCCAAGGAGTTGTGTCCCCTGCTGTGTTCAAATAATTTAAACAGGAATGGCAAAGTGTGAGTTTTAAAATTAAAAAAAAAAATCACACAGGTAAAAAATAAAATAGCAGTTGCAAAACCTCATGTCCTTAAGAAAAATCTAAGCAAGTGTGGTGAAATTCTATCTAGCCATTTTCAAGGAGTTGCAGATTAACAAACTAAAATAAGTTGAAATGGCTATGTCCATGTTTTGGTATGGGAAACCACAAATATAACTTGGAATTGAATATTAAAGAAGAAGGTGGACAACTACATGACATTTTGAAGAATCTGTGCTGTCCCTGTTTGATGCTCCATCAATGCACCATATTTTTCTTTTGGTTGTATGATGCACTGACAATTATGCAAGTGATATTGTTAATATAAAATCTCAGTTTCTAAATTATGTAATTACACTAAAACTCAATTTTGCAACTCAATCAGACAAAGTTTTCAGACCTTAAGTTTTGGCTACCTTTTTAAGTCCTATTTGTTTTAGATGCTCCAATTTTTTTTTATGTTTTTGGTGCTCCAAACTTTTTCGGTTTCAAGCATACCTTATCTTTTAGATTCATACAACATGCTGTTGGTTTTAATGTTTGAATTGTTTCACATTTTGTCAGTTCAAGGCCTTTTATAGTTGAGCTTGACTATGCAGTATTTGTTTTGTTCATTGTTGATGGGAGGTATAGTCCCTTTAGTTACTAACATCCAAGTCATTCAGACTCTGGTGGATGTTTGTCGCATCAGCAATCATATTATATTATTATCCACTGCATCAAGTATGTTACAATATTTCTCCACTAGAGACATGTAAATTTTAATATTTAAAGCACAATGAAGCATGAGGCAATTAAAATTTAACTGTTGAGGCCAAAATAAACAAATTGCGTTTTTCCTATGTCACTCTCCAAAAAATTAGGTAGGGTAGGTAGGTAAAACATTTTATTTTATTAAAACATTTTTTTTTAATTTTTTTTATACTTTTTTTCCGTCCATGTGATAACATTCCCATATTTGACAACTTATACGCTGCACAGTCGTAGACAAGCCATGCTTGTTCTTTTTTAATTTTGGTTCTTGATACGTTTTACCAATATGTATTGTATTATTTGTATTTATCATTCAAACGAATTATCTGATGTGGAGGTAGGGTCTGGAAATCATAAACACACAATTAATTTATTTTGGCCTGAGATGAAAACTAGAGAAATCTTATTTCAATACTGATGGCAAGTTGTGTACACCCTTTAATTGGCATCATACATATATTTAAATTAACCAAGGCATCTCCCAAGAATATTATTACTCCAAACCTCCTGGGTATTCCTTAGCAATTAACCAACACTTAGTACTGTATACTCACTTCATCTTTATTGAGGTAGAGTGAATTAAGATCTATTTTTCCACAGTAACCAATAATAGGTACCACATTCAATGAACCATCCCGCTGAAAAATTCAAAATTGTGTAGCTATAAATAGAAAGAATACAGCTTAAATCTAAACTAAATACGAATATACCAAGGGCAATGAAGGGGTCAATCAAATAACAAGCCCACCCTTAAAAAATTCTTAGTATGATGTTACCTACTAATCCCTTGTAGGGTTGGGTAGGTAGGTAGGGATTTTTTTTTTTTTGGCCAACAACATAAGTTACATGTTTTAGACAAGAAAATGATGTTAGAGCAGAAACTAATCTTTAAAAAAAATTGAAACGATTTGAGTCATAAAATTTTTCGGGTAGGCTGCTTTTTAGGTGGGTAGGTAGGCAAACAATTTAAATTTTATTGTTGGTCCAACACAAAAATTTTGAATTATTACAACAGCTTTTAACAAAGCGCTAGGTGCTGTAAGGGTCCTTTTTATCACTTTAGTCAAGTCCATTATTTCAAAATGAAAAGGGTTTTAAGGTTACAAGAGCCGCATGACCATATATATTTTTTTGGTTGTTATACAACACTGGCATTTCTAGTAACAGGAACTGCTACCCATTTTTTCCTAGTTTGTGTAGTCTTTGAGAAATAAAATACGGAACACCACTGGTACCCTATGGAAAATGCATTACGAATAATTGTGCCCTTGTAACCTATAGGTTGATGCATAAAATTTAAATAGATCATTTTTGGCAAACTTTCAATGTAAGGGTTACTGGTAATCATTTAAACTTCAAATAGGTTAAAAATAGATATTTCATTGATAGATATTCATGTTGATAAAAACATCTTAGATTTTAACCATTTTTAGGTCTTGGAAACTTAGAGCCAAGAACTTGATAAACTAAATATTCATGTCAAATAGGTTATTTTGTTTAACCAACATGATGCTATATGACATTCTTTGTGGACCCATGTGCTACATGTTTCCTGTTCAACAAACAAACAGAAATTGGCCTGTTTTCATTTAATTTGGTGAAAAAATTAAATTTATACAAATTAATGTTTACATAATCAAAAGAATGCATAAATTTTGAAAAAAGGACATAAATCAGGCCGTTAGTTTTCTCGTTTGAATTGTTTTACATTTGTCGTTTCAGGGTCTTTTATAGCTTTCTAACACTATGCGGTATGGGTTTTGCTCATTGTTGAAGGCCGTACAGTTACTGCTAGTTAGTAAACTTCTACATCATTTGGTCTTTGGTGTAGATTTGTCTTACTAGCAATCATACCACATCTTCTTGTTTTTATAATATACATGTACATTGTACATGTTGTATTTTCCATCTAGTCATTGTTTAAACTATTATACTTTGAGGCAATAAAAGTCTCATTTGAAATTTCAGATTAAAATAGAGGACATATTGAACTTACTCCTTCAATAGCAGTCGAAATGAAAACTTGTCAGTTAAATCTGAAACTTACATGATCCAATCAGTTTTGTCCAAGCTTTTTTATTTAAACAAGTCAAGGTCATCTGCCTAATAATCAATTTACAGTACAATTTTAGTGTCAGACTTTCATCATTAAATTAAGAAATACTTTGAGGCAATTAAATTCTCATTTGAAATTTCAGCTAAAAATAGAGGACATATTGAACTTACTCCTTCAATAGCAGTTGAAATGGAAACTTTTAAGATAAATCTGAAACTTACATGATCCAATCAGTTTTGTCTGAGCTTTTTTATTTAAACAAGTCAAGGTCATTTAACTCTGCCTAGTAATCAAATTACAGTACAATTTTAGTGTCAGATTTTCATCATTAAATTAAGAAATAATTCTTTCATGCCATGCTCTATGCTCATCCTAACATGGGTAGGCATAATATTTGACAATATCTTTCTACCGCACAAAAGCAAGATGTAAAATGTTGACAAATATAATTCCTACCCATGTTCAAATGAGCATAGATCATAGAATAATAGAATTATTTCGATTCTAATAGGAAAATTTAGAACCTTTATACTTTGAAGCAGACCTATAATACACTTTAAAATGATTTTATTTAATTTCCTAGCGAGCAACACCAACACATTGTCTATTTTGATCTCCAGCATTGTGTAAAATACAACTGACGTTGCAATTTCAATTGTGACGTCAATCACCTGCAGCCCATGTTTAATTCGAATTAAAACATGGCTTTGTTTCCAAAGCAAAAAGAACGTCACATTAGAATACACCATAATCTTTACAAAAAGGCCTCAAGAAGAAGATCAACATTTGCCCCTTATGAGAAATTGTTCGTTGCACAGAGACAAACTTTGGAATAAGTATTTTACAGTGCCTTAATAGGAATTGACGCAAAAAAGATGGAGGAGGATTGGCCATGTTCTTAGAAGACCAGCAGAGGACTTGAACAGAGTTGCCCTAAGATGGACACCTGGGGGGAAAAGAAAGAAAGGACACCCCAAAACAACTTGGAGAAGAACAGTTGAAGCTGAAATGAAAGAACATGGAATCAGCTGGGACGAAATAGAAAAGAAAGCACAGAACAGAGATGAGTGGAAAGATCTAGTCCTTGCCCTATGTGCCTCCAGGCATAATAAGGACTAGGTAGGTAGAATAGGACTCAAGTTTTACCAGCTTACATTACTTGGTACAGGCATCATTTGTCCCCATATGTCTACATCATCTTCTTGTAGTCCAATCTCTTCATGGGATTCCCTTAAAGCTGTATGAATTACATCTCTATCGCCATCATCTTCTTTGCCACCTGGAAAACTGTGCAATTTTATAATTATGTCCCATTTTATGTACTTAAAATAAATGGAGAATGTGTCCATGGGACACAGATGATGCCCCTGCTTGCATATAATGTTACAAAGGGACATAACTAGAGAAATGTAAAAGTGACACCATCCAAATTCGAACTCCATCTGTGTTTTATGGTAATAAATATTGTGTATATGTTTCAAAACATTTAGATAAGGCAAACTATAGTTACAGAATGGAAACGAAAAGTTCAGAAAAAAATTTACATTTATAAAGGGGTATAACTCAAGAACAGTAAAAGTGACGCAACCCAAATTCAGACTCGATCTGTGTATTGTGGTAATAAGCATTGTGTTTAAGTTTCATAACATTTGGTTGAGGTAAACTAAAGTTAGAGAAAGGAAACTAATTTTGGGACGTACGGACGGACAAAGGTACATAAATTTAACTCTTAACATGTTTAATGCCTCCTCCTTTACCCATAATAATATGTATAAGTGAACAATTCACATGACAAAAAAAACAATTTTTTTTGTTTTCAAGCAGTTGCTGAACCATGAAAATGAGGTCAAAGACAATGAACATATGGACATAAATCCAAAGTAACTAAAAAGTCTCTAATTCTTACCATACTTCTCCTCTGTGTTGTGCTATAGTCATTGGACGGACCATAAATAACAATGAGGGTTCTCCATTCACTATACATAACGGAATTAATACTGAAGCATTCCTTGCGCCCTCCTTTTTGAATCTCCCTGGAATTATATTAGTATACGTGGATAACTTCTTTTGAACTGCAGTTTTATTATCATCGCTGAAAACATTTTTCAGACTGACATTTGCAGAACTTGAAATATGTCTACCAGCTAAATTCTTGCTCATTAAAGAAGTACATTGACACAATGCACATTTCCATTTATGAGTTAGCAGTCTCATTTCAGAACTCCAAAAGCTCTTAAATGAACAATAATCCTACAAGTCTAATTTCTCTCTAAACCATTTTCAGCCAGTACAAGCATATATCATAAATCATGTATATAGAAGTTGTTTAACTCTTTTGGACTTTGACAATTTCTTTGCTTATGCTTGTAGTTAAATAATCCTGAAAAATGAAAAAACAAAATTAAGTCAATATTTACTATATAACAAGAATCATCAAAAAACAAAAACATTTAAGCCTGCTTCACTAACCACCTTTGGTTATCCTTGGTTGTTGTATGCAATAATTGTTGTCCCTTGAATGTGAATAGCTTAATCCGGTCATTGGTTTTCTCTTTTGAAATTTTTCATATTTTGTCTGGGGCCTTTTATAGTTAATTATACAGTTAATACAGTATTGGTTTTGTAAGATATTGCCATTGGATGACCTGTGGATGTTAACATCCTTGGCCTTTTTTCTTTGGTGGATAGCTGTCTCATTGACATTAATAACAATTTATAAATACCACATTTCTTTTATTTTTTGCTGACACTTATTGCTAACATTATTACTATACATCTGTTACGAAATTGTGTTCCCTTAAAACTTTAGTCTATAATGCTGATGAAATCTATGAATATCAAATGACCCTCCATTCTAATACTATATGTTGCAATTAAATATAAAAGCAACATCAAGAACATTAAGCATTCACATCAATTTCAAAAAGCATTGTGATTCTATAAAGGTGTTATTCAAATTACCAATGAATTTATATGTATATTGAATTCTTATGACTTTTCCTTTTGGATGTAAAAACTGATAAATGTATACTTTAAACTAATTAAATCCATGTTTTTGTATCACATTGACACTAAATATCAATAACTATGATTGGGATTTGAAAATAGCACTGTTTCTCAAATATAATAACCCCACATTAAAAATTTATTCAAAACATGTTTAACCTCGACACATTCTATAAGTGCTGGTCCCAAGTCAGGAGCATGTAATTCAGTGGTTGTTGTTTTTTGCTGTATATCATTTTTTTTTTTATTGTTTTGTACATAAATCAGGCCATTAGTTTTCTCGTTTGAATTGTTTAACATTTGTCATTTTAGGACCTCTTATAGCTTTCTATGCAGTATGGGTTTTGCTCATTGTTGAAGACCTTACAGTTGTTATATATTACCTCATTTTTCTCTCTGGTGGAGAGTTGTCTTATTGGCCATCATACCACATCTTCTTATTTTTATATCTACTATAAAATCCTACTAGTAAAAAAAATCTACAGCACATGTTGATACATGGTCCAGGGGAAAACACTATATGAGGTCTTATAGATATGATAAAGTTACATTGTGTCTGCTACTCTTTCAGCAGGGTTACAATTACTCACAATGGAGCAATGTGTTTTGTTAATTTGTGAAAACATCTGAGAGCGGGGTTTTAGAATACTGTTTGGAGCCAAAAGGGATTGATATAACTTACAAGGTCAGTCTCACTGATTATTAACCAGAAGTGTTATTTATAGTGACAAGAAAAAAAATCAAGCCAGGAGAAGACAAATTTAATATCAAGAAATTTTATAGACTACAAATTTAAAATAAAAACAATAATTTTAAAGAAAAACGGTCAATAAATAACAGCTGATTACAGTTCCCATAAAGAGTTTCACATTTTTTTTTCTATTTGAACTGAAGTGAGTCCCTACATGTATCAAAAAGAGACAGGAACGTTCAAAACTTAGTCAAAGAAAAACTGACAGCACCATAGCAATAAACTAAAGACTATTTATTTACATTGCCATCTGTTCTTGTACATGCTGCCATTTTCGGTAAAGACAAATAATCCACAAAACACTGCATAGAAAACTAAAGATTGAGCAATATGAACCACACCAAATATCTGGGGGTAATCTCAAAAGTCCAGAAGGGAAGCAGTGATGTCACAATCAAGGAAAAGAGGACAGGATTGTGGTTCCGACAATTTGAACATATCTGTGGGCATTTTATGTTGAAAGTCTTAAAGATATAAAGTTTTACTAAAAGCATTACAGAAACTTAAAATTTTATAAATCTACGACAATGAAGTCAAGGTCAGATAAATTGTGTCAGACAGACATATATACCTTACAATGTTTTTAAACACCAAATATACCTATTGCTTATAGTACTTGAAAAACAGACAAAAACAAAAAAAACTTACCAATAACTAATGAACCATGAAAATGAGGTCAAGGTCAAATGATACCTGCCAGACAGACAGGTGCACCTTAAAATTATTCCATACATCAAATATAGCTGACCTATTGCTATTAGTATTTGAAAAACAGACCAAAACACAAAAACTTAACATTGACCATTGAACCATAAAAATTAGGTCAAGGTCAGATGATACCTTCCAGACAGACATGTACACCTTACAATCATTCAATACACAAAATATAGTTGACCTATTGCTTATAGTACTTGAAAAATAGACAAAAACATAAAAACTTACCATTGACCAATGAACCATAAAAATAAGGTCAAGGTCAGATGATACCTGCAAGACAGACTTGTACACCTTACAAGCATTCCATACACCAAATATAGTTGACCTATTGCTTATAATACTTGAAAAACAGATCAAAACACAAAAACTTAACATTGACCAATGAACTATGAAAATGAGGTCAAGGTCAGACTGACATTTACTCATTACAATCATTCCATACAACAAATATAGCTGACCTACTGCTTATAGTATTTGAGAAACGGATCTAATCATGTAACTTTAACCTTGATCACTGATCCATTAAATAAGGTCGAGGTCAGGTGAACTCTACCTGACGGACATGTAGATGTTGCAAGGAACCCATATACCAAATATAGTTATCCTATTACTCATAATAAGTGAGAAATTCAGATGACAAAAAAACTCAATTTTTTTTTCGAGTAGTGGCTGAACCAAGAAAATGAGGTCAAGGACAACGTCATATGATTGACGGAAACTTCGTAAAATAAGGTATCTGTAAACAAGATATGAAGCATCTAGGCCTTTAATATAATATTTTTCTGAAATATAAAGCTTTAAGCAAATAGTTGACGCCACCACAGCTGGATAGTAATACCTATGTCTCGCATACTGTGACTTTCGTCGTAGGCCAGACAAAAACCCTTGGTTAAATAGCTCTACATCTACATAATACTTCTTAACTTCAATATGTTGAAGATTACAAGAAGGCACATACTGCATGTACTAGGGAAAAAAATCTAAAATCTGAACATATTTACAATAATTTCAAAAACTGTTGACCTTGACCTCATTTTCAATCAGAGAAGAAGATTTTTGTAAAAGATTACAAAAATTTACAAAAAAACTGTTAAAAATTGACTATAAAGGGCAATAACTCCTAAAGGGGTCGACTGACAATTTTGGTCATGAGGACTTATTTGTAGATCTTACTTTTCTGAACATTATTGCTGTTTACATGTTTATCTCTATCTATAATAATATTCAAGATAATAACCAAAAACTGCAAAATTTCCTTAAAATTACCAATTCAGGGGCAGCAACCCAACAATGGGTTGTCAGATTTGTCTGAAAATTTCAGGGCAGATAGATCTTGACCTGATAATCAGTTTTACACATGTCAGATTTACTCTAAATGCTTTGGTTTCAGAGATATAAGCCAAAATGTACATTTTACCCCTATGTTCTATTTTTAGCCATGGCGGCCATCTTGGTTGGTTGGCAGGGTCATCAGACACATTTTTTAAACTAGATACCCTAATGATGAATGTGGCCAAGTTTGGTTAAATTTGGGCCAGTGGTTTCAGAGGAGAAGATTTTTGTAAAAGCTAACAATGACGGACGACGACGACGACAAGTGATGAGAAAAGCTCACTTGGCCCTTTGGGCCAGGTGAGCTCAAAAGGGGAAATTTGTAGCTTTATCATCAAAATGAACACTGAAAACGGCGATAAATATGTCGATAAAAAATCTCCAGTTATGAGGCCAAAACTCCAGCTGAAAATTTTCAAATCTCCAGTAATGACTTGACAACTCTGTCGCATGTATATCCTGTGACATATATGATATAGTTATTTTATTTAACAGAAACAAGAGCTTAATATGTATATTTATAATCAGATGATCTACAGACATTATATGTGTCATATGGGGTTTGGTCATATAGAAAATGTTTCTCACTTGTTAAGAGTTAAACACATTGAGGACACATTGTGACAGCTCCTGGCTCAAAGGTCGTCTGTTTTGGGTTGCAAATGCAATTTAAAGAATTAAACAAAAATCGAAACTTTTCTTAGAATGTAAATTATTTCTTAACATTATTTACAGACGAATTATTCTTTCATACAGAGTATTTCTCAGATCAAACTTCAGTCAAAACCTGAACTAAAATGAATAGAAGTTTCCTTTAATACAAAATAAATTATAATTTAGTTTCGTTTTCTATTTTTCTTAATTTCGAATTTTCATATTAAAAATGGCTGCGCCCATGAAGAAAACTGTCGAATTGTTTTATGATGTTGTTTCACCGTATTCATGGATAGCATTTGAAGTATTTAGATTTTTCTTTATGCAATTTTGTGAACGAAACCTCTTAGAATAATTCAGCAACATTGGTACACGTTGACATTGCATTGTTACTCACTTTCAGCTCTAATGTTTGCCGAGGAAAATGATTCTTTCATTAATTTAAGATTTTTAGATGAATCAAATAGTGTTTACTGTAATTAGAATCCATGACACTTCACACCATTGCCAAATCGCCCCAGACCTTCATGCCCTAACTTTTTACCAACTAGCACCATTGAAAAAGGGGGGAGGGGGGTCAGGGTCGAGAGAGGATTTCTTTTTGTCGAGTAGCAAGTATCGAGTTATAAAAAGTGAGTATCGAGTTGCAAAAAGCGAGTATCGAGTAATAAAATCTGAGTATCAAGTAGCTAAAAGTGAGTATCGAGTAGCAAAAAGTGAGTATCGAATTGTCAAAAGTGAGTATCGATTTACAAAAAGTGAGTATCGAGTAGCAAAAAGTGAGTATCGAGTTATAAAAAGTGAGTATCGAGTAGCAAAAAGTGAGTATCGAGTTATAAAAAGTGAGTATCGAGTAGTAAAAAGTGAGTATCGAGTAGCAAAATTAATAACCAACAAAAACATTATTTGTAAATAGAATTGTTTTAACAAAAAAATATCCAAATAAAATAATAAGTTTAAGTGGACGACCATTTTATATTCAATGGAGAGGATGTAGGAGGATTTTTTTTGGACGTATAGTTTATTTTCACTTCAAGTTTAGTATTTTTAGGCTACAGAACTGAGAACAAGATTCTCTTGAAATATTCAATTATAATTCTTATATGATTTTCATAATCACAAATACTTAAAAGTGATTTATCTGTTAGTTTTTTCCTTGGTTTTACTTCGATACACCATATTGCCAAAAACTAGTTACCTTAACGATGGTTATTATTATTTTGCTACTCGATACTCACTTTTTTTTACTCGATACTCACTTTTTGTTACTTGATACTCACTTTTTATAACTCGATACTCACTTTTTATAACTCGATACTCACTTTTTGCTACTCGATACTCACTTTTTGTAACTCGATTCTCACTGTTGACCACTCGATACTCACTTTTTGCTACTCGATACTCACTTTTCGCTACTTGATACTCACATTTTATTACTCGATACTCGATTTTTACAACTCGATACTCACTTTTTATAACTACTACTAATTTAGTAGTAAACAACAGATGTTGATTTTAGTAGCATCTGTAATGGAGTACTTTCTTAAGCTGGTAAACATTACTGCTGCCTGATTTACATAGTGAGGCAATTTATACAAAATCTTGAAGAACATGTGAAGGCTCTGCACCCTGGGGTATTTTTACAGGAATTAGATTGGACATTATCATGATAATATAACAAACACCTTGTCTTGTTATGTATCTAAAAAAATTAAATAAAATACATAAGGAAAGGATTAAATTTAATATCATATTTAATGAACAGTTCCCATAATTAGTCATATCAGATATACATGTATATGAGACCAAAACAGTATTGTTTACTTACACTTGTACGATCACAAGTTATAATGGACATACATGATTCCTCCTATTCAAATTGGTGAACCTGTATTCAAAGACCACTTGTATTAAGAGACCACTTTTGCCTTCTCCTTTTAGTGGTCCCCTTAATTGCAGGTTTGACTGTATATGGAATTCAGAATAATGGGACAGTTGCTATTTCAAGGAAGATGCTGAAAAAGTCATATCACAGACATTTGTCTATACCCATATTAATTAATAATTAATTATATATCAACTCAGTTTAATTCCTTATCTACATACTTCTAAGTCTTGTTTAAATCAACTACAGCACAGAAATGCAATGGAACCAAAGGTCTTACTTCATATTCCTTCAGTTGACCAGTTTGCGTGAAGCAAGCAATGCGACAGTATCAAACCTGCACCCCTCTCTATGTTGTAAATTGTACAGTATGATTCGATTAATAAATTGGATATTTTTTTGTTTACACAATTCTATTTACAAATAATGTTTTTGTTGGTTATTAATTGATACTCGATACTCACTTTTTATAACTCGATACTCACTTTTTTTTACTCGATACTCACTTTTTGTTACTTGATACTCACTTTTTATAACTCGATACTCACTTTTTATAACTCGATACTCACTTTTTCCTACTCGATACTCACTTTTTGTAACTCGATACTCACTGTTGACCACTCGATACTCACTTTTTGCTACTCGATACTCACTTTTCGCTACTTGATACTCACATTTTATTACTCGGTACTCGATACTCACTTTTTATAACTACTACTAATTTAGTAGTAAACAACAGATGTTGATTTTAGTAGCATCTGTAATGGAGTACTTTCTTAAGCTGGTAAACATTACTGCTGCCTGATTTACATAGTGAGGCAATTTATACAAAATCTTGAAGAACATGTGAAGGCTCTGCACCCTGGGGTATTTTTACAGGAATTAGATTGGACATTATCATGATAATATAACAAACACCTTGTCTTGTTATGTATCTAAAAAAATTAAATAAAATACATAAGGAAAGGATTAAATTTAATATCATATTTAATGAACAGTTCCCATAATTAGTCATATCAGATATACATGTATATGAGACCAAAACAGTATTGTTTACTTACACTTGTACGATCACAAGTTATAATGGACATACATGATTCCTCCTATTCAAATTGGTGAACCTGTATTCAAAGACCACTTGTATTAAGAGACCACTTTTGCCTTCTCCTTTTAGTGGTCCCCTTAATTGCAGGTTTGACTGTATATGGAATTCAGAATAATGGGACAGTTGCTATTTCAAGGAAGATGCTGAAAAAGTCATATCACAGACATTTGTCTATACCCATATTAATTAATAATTAATTATATATCAACTCAGTTTAATTCCTTATCTACATACTTCTAAGTCTTGTTTAAATCAACTACAGCACAGAAATGCAATGGAACCAAAGGTCTTACTTCATATTCCTTCAGTTGACCAGTTTGCGTGAAGCAAGCAATGCGACAGTATCAAACCTGCACCCCTCTCTATGTTGTAAATTGTACAGTATGATTCGATTAATAAATTGGATATTTTTTTGTTTACACAATTCTATTTACAAATAATGTTTTTGTTGGTTATTAATTGATACTCGATACTCACTTTTTATAACTCGATACTCACTTTTTTTTACTCGATACTCACTTTTTGTTACTTGATACTCACTTTTTATAACTCGATACTCACTTTTTATAACTCGATACTCACTTTTTCCTACTCGATACTCACTTTTTGTAACTCGATACTCACTGTTGACCACTCGATACTCACTTTTTGCTACTCGATACTCACTTTTCGCTACTTGATACTCACATTTTATTACTCGATACTCGATACTCACTTTTTATAACTACTACTAATTTAGTAGTAAACAACAGATGTTGATTTTAGTAGCATCTGTAATGGAGTACTTTCTTAAGCTGGTAAACATTACTGCTGCCTGATTTACATAGTGAGGCAATTTATACAAAATCTTGAAGAACATGTGAAGGCTCTGCACCCTGGGGTATTTTTACAGGAATTAGATTGGACATTATCATGATAATATAACAAACATCTTGTCTTGTTATGTATCTAAAAAAATTAAATAAAATACATAAGGAAAGGATTAAATTTAATATCATATTTAATGAACAGTTCCCATAATTAGTCATATCAGATATACATGTATATGAGACCAAAACAGTATTGTTTACTTACACTTGTACGATCACAAGTTATAATGGACATACATGATTCCTCCTATTCAAATTGGTGAACCTGTATTCAAAGACCACTTGTATTAAGAGACCACTTTTGCCTTCTCCTTTTAGTGGTCCCCTTAATTGCAGGTTTGACTGTATATGGAATTCAGAATAATGGGACAGTTGCTATTTCAAGGAAGATGCTGAAAAAGTCATATCACAGACATTTGTCTATACCCATATTAATTAATAATTAATTATATATCAACTCAGTTTAATTCCTTATCTACATACTTCTAAGTCTTGTTTAAATCAACTACAGCACAGAAATGCAATGGAACCAAAGGTCTTACTTCATATTCCTTCAGTTGACCAGTTTGCGTGAAGCAAGCAATGCGACAGTATCAAACCTGCACCCCTCTCTATGTTGTAAATTGTACAGTATGATTCGATTAATAAATTGGATATTTTTTTGTTTACACAATTCTATTTACAAATAATGTTTTTGTTGGTTATTAATTGATACTCGATACTCACTTTTTATAACTCGATACTCACTTTTTTTTACTCGATACTCACTTTTTGTTACTTGATACTCACTTTTTATAACTCGATACTCACTTTTTATAACTCGATACTCACTTTTTCCTACTCGATACTCACTTTTTGTAACTCGATACTCACTGTTGACCACTCGATACTCACTTTTTGCTACTCGATACTCACTTTTCGCTACTTGATACTCACATTTTATTACTCGGTACTCGATACTCACTTTTTATAACTACTACTAATTTAGTAGTAAACAACAGATGTTGATTTTAGTAGCATCTGTAATGGAGTACTTTCTTAAGCTGGTAAACATTACTGCTGCCTGATTTACATAGTGAGGCAATTTATACAAAATCTTGAAGAACATGTGAAGGCTCTGCACCCTGGGGTATTTTTACAGGAATTAGATTGGACATTATCATGATAATATAACAAACACCTTGTCTTGTTATGTATCTAAAAAAATTAAATAAAATACATAAGGAAAGGATTAAATTTAATATCATATTTAATGAACAGTTCCCATAATTAGTCATATCAGATATACATGTATATGAGACCAAAACAGTATTGTTTACTTACACTTGTACGATCACAAGTTATAATGGACATACATGATTCCTCCTATTCAAATTGGTGAACCTGTATTCAAAGACCACTTGTATTAAGAGACCACTTTTGCCTTCTCCTTTTAGTGGTCCCCT